ATGAATGTGAATGTATCTACTCAAAAGTGAAATATGAATCTTGGAAAGATTAGTGATCTTCTCAAAGTCATACATCTATTATGGTTTAGAGCCAGGATTCAAACCTAATTCTGCTCAAGAGTTCCCTGAGAGCTACTTCTTAAAAAGGTTGCAGTGTGATTGTAACCCCATAGGAAGAACAACAATATCAACTAATTGGATACCTCAGAGCTCCCAGGGACTAAAACACCAAACAAAGAGTACACATGGAGTGACCCATGGCTCCAGTTGCATATGTAGCAGAGAATGGCCTTGTCAGTCATCAGTTGGAGGGGAAGCCCTTGGTCCTGTGGAGGCTTGATGCCCCAGTGAAAGGCAATGCTAGGGCAGTGAGGTGGGAGTGAGTGGGTGGGTGGGTTGCCTCATAGAGGCAAATGGGAGGGGGTGGTAGGGAGGTTTGTGGAGGACAGAGTGGGAAGAGGGACATTTGAAATTTAAATAAATAAAATAACTAATAAAAAGGTTGCAGTATTGAATGGTAGACTTCTTTAGGCTGGACATTTGTAAGAAACAAGTCTGACTTTAATGAGAAGCTATTTTGGCTCAGGCTATTGGCATCTGACAGCTGCTGTGAGAGGGAGAGTCAATTTGCTTGATGTGTCCCAAGTGGCGAGCACTGCCTAGTACAAAAAACTTCCTTTTAAAGAACTAGCTCCCAGAGAACTCTTGAGCCCATAAACGGAAGTGTTTGTCAAAGAACTGGGATTTAGGAACTGAGGCATAGCTGAAGAAACCTGAGGCATGTGTATCTTCCTTTCTTTCCCCTTTTTAATATTCTTCCCATTTTCCTCTTCCTTATTAATATAGAGAATAAACATTGTATTGGTTGGTGGGTAAATATGAACTTAAAAAGCTACCTAATTTAAAAAGAAATGAGTTTTAAAAAGCATCAGACCAGGGCTGGAGAGGTGGTTCAGTGGTTAAGAGCACTGCCTGAAGCAGATTCATGAGAAACACCGAATGGTACTGCTAGTTCAGGAGTCTGACTAGTTATACTCAAAGATATACTTTTCCTACTTTTTTATTTGTGTTATAATTTTACTATCAATACTACTGAGCTTTTTTTCTTTTGTTATTAAGCATCTGTGTGTACACTGGTGTATGTGCATGTGCATATGCAGGCCAGATGAACACCTTTGGTATCTTCCTCAGGAATGCCATCTATGTCCTTTGAGACATGGACTTTCACTGACCTGGAGCTCACCAATTAGGATAGACTGACTGGCTAGTGAGCCTCAGTCGTCCTCCTGCATCTGCCTCTCCAATGCTGGATCACAAGTATGAGCCACCATACGCAGTTTTATATGGGTTCTGAGGGACAATTCAGATCCTTATGCTTTTGAAGCAAACACTTACCAAATTAGCTATGTCCACAGACCATTACTGAATTCTTTGCATAGCTATTTGAGACTTATTTTTATCTGCTTTTGTATGTATGTACGTACATAAATGTATGCCACGAGCATGCATTAGTGGGTATCAGATCTTCTGGAATTGGAGTTACAGACAGTAATAAGCCTCATGATGTGGGTGCTGGGAACTGAACTTGGGTCCTCTGGAAGAAGACTAACTGCCCTTAAACATTGAGTCATCTGCCTAAGCCCATTTCCGATATTTCTAACTCATTTGTAGGTTCTTAGCACTAGCCAGTATGGTTCACACAAACTGGCATTCAGTGATTACTTAGTAAATGAAGGAAAGACCATTAACTAGGTTTTCTGTTGGAGGACTTAGTGACATATGACCCAAAGTTTTACTGAAAAATAGGGAGACAAAGGAAAATGTTTTGTAATTGCTATGAGAAAGGTAATTGCCATGGGAACCATTTAACAACCAAAATGAAATCTACAATGTTTTCCAATCTAAAATACAAACTCAGAATTTTTTAAAAGGGAAAATCAAATATGCAACAAAGGTTAACTACAAATATATGTAGCATCACTACTGGATCAGAATTCATTTTGTCATAAACAGTTTTGAAAAACTTCACTTAATGAAATATAGAGCATCCTAAAAAGCCACCCAACTCCCCCATCCATGAATCCTTTGTGTGTTATGTCTTTTTGCATATTATTTTCTTGGCATTTCTTTTGCTTGTTTTAAGTTTGTTGTTCAATATCCCAGTAGAATTTCTTTGAAATTTTTAACATTCTCTATATGACAATTTTTACATCTACTGCCATTTGCTTGTCTTTGTGAATGTTGGCTACAAATTTTATGTGAGCCAGCAAATGCTTTTTCAAACTACTTTTAATCATTTTATCAGTAGTGATCTTGTAATAATGGTGACCTTGACAATACTCTGACATATTTTAGAGCCATATCTTAATTAGAATTTAGAAAAATAAAAATGTATTAACACACAAGTAATCAAGACTTTTTCCTTGCCTTTTTGTATATTATAGCTAGAAAAATAGTGTTTTATAGATAGCTAAACAAAATTCTGAGGCCTAATAGTGTTTTGAATATTACAATGTGTTGAATCTGCAATTTTTTAAGTGAAAATGTAAGGGATTTTAAGCTTGGACTTCAGAGTTAATGAAGAATACTTAACTAAAATGAAAGGACAGACAATCTGAGATTACAGTTACATTTCTTCTTTTTCATATCATAGTAAAGTTTTTCAATAGTATTTCAACACAGATTTCACTATTTAGTGAATATCAAGTGATAACTATCATCAAGGCTTCTTATGAATTATTACTTTTGTATGCAGCCACCAAATTCCACCAAAAGAAAGAACAATGTAGACTCCAAAATCATCAACCATATTTTCAGCTCCAAGATTAATCTCAGAGTTTGTCTTCCCCAAGTCCCTTACTTCAGACATGGAAGCCCAAATCAAGGAAATCTGGGACCAATTCAGGGTCCCAAAGTATAGTTGTTTTATGAACATCATAATCTGTATTTACTGTGCCAGACTCCAGATATTGTATTGTTTTGATTTTATTAAATTACATTTTTTCATTTTGTGTGAGTATACATGTGCCACAGTGTGTGTGTGTGTGTGTGTGTGTGTGTGTGTGTGTAGGTCAGAGGACAACTTGCAGAAGTTAGTTTTCTCCTTTCACCATGTGGGCTCCTGGAAATGAACTGAGGTTCTGAAGCTTGCTACAGGCTCCTTTTCCCACTGTGCCATCATGCAGGCCCCTGAAACTCTCTATTTTATAATGCTTCTATTATTTGCACATATTCAAAGATACTGTAACCAAAGCAGTTACACAGTGAGGCAAAAAGCCACTTTTCTATGAAACACTTTCCAAACTTTACTACAAACTGGTCACCAGAGCCAAAACTGTTCAATGTCTACAAAACAACTCTCATCTATTTGCTGGCTATGGTCAAAATTTGCTATACAAGTTAAAGCTAGGAGTGGTGGCACAAACCTATAGTCTCAGCATTCAGGAAATGGAGACTGTAGGATCAGTTTACAGTGAGTTTGAGGCAAGTATGAGATACATGGGACCATGTTTAAAAATGAAACAAAAATAAGGTGGGGGACAACCACAGAGTCCCCTTGAAAATTTAAAAGCCCGGGAGTTTCCAAACAATGATATAATTCATGGCTGATTGAAGACTTTACTCTTTCAAAAACTGTCTTCAGTTAGACTGTTAATAAAGCATGATCATATCACAGTGGATTCCCAATTTCCATATTTAGTAGATGGGATTAATATAATGTGCCCACTGCAGATATTATCGGGGATTTTTAAAAATTGTTTTGCCATTCCACCAAAGTGAAAGATGTGAAATACTATGGAATTGCACACAAGGGTATATAATTTATAAATCAGAAGAAATTATTTTATGAGGTTAATTTTAATGAGTGTCTTTATCCAAGAAAATGGAATCTAAACTGTTCCCTCTATTTTTACATTCATAATCTTTCACCTTGGATGTACATGATCAAGATAAGGTAATCCAGAAAATATTTTACAGTAATTATTAAATCTGAGCGTTTCTGCAGCAGAATCAGTTTTAACCATTTAAGAACCTCTCCAAAACTGCTTTAAAACACATTGCCATGGCAAATTTCACAGTCTAATAGTAGGCTGCTTACAGATACATAATAGCCTGTGCAAAAGGTCGGTTATACTAAAACAATCAAGAGATAGCTCTCCATGTTTGGCACAGTAAGTGTTGGCAGGTACAACAGCACTTACTTGAACCCAAAAAAAATGTTAAAAGATGGGCCCTTAAACCCGGTTTTACTAGGCCATAACCTCAAATACCAAAGAAAAGTCTCCAAACGATGTCTGAAATCTGTGCTGCAAAACACTGTTTCTCTTCAGTTACAGGCCTCATTGCCTGAGAGGATCCTATGACCCTAGCATCCAACAAATTCTACTTGAAAGCTCAAGCACACATGCTAACCTTCCCAAATTGCTGACTCCATCTCTCTGTAAATATCGCCCTGAGTTTCTACACTGCAAGACGTTGAATCTCACCAGGGTGGGTGGGTAGAGGTTCCTGTTAAATTTCTGATCATCCTTCTTTACTCTTGCTTTCCTTTCCCTGGCCCTTGAGATTCACAGCACTTCTGCTCTGCCTCCTCTTCCCAAATCACATGTCAGCATCCTACTTCACACTAAAGCATCTAGCTAAGACAAAAATGATGTTTATTTCTACCCCCCTTCAAACTCCTGCCTTAAGAGTATCTGTCATTCTTTTGCCTGGGGGCCTTTGGGGAAGGGGAGTTTAGGGATGCCCTTCGCAGCTTCAGTCCTTCTGACAGTCTAGGGCCTAATAAGGGAGGGGGTGGGGTGGGGTAGGGTGGGGTGGGATGGGACCAAGCCCAGCGGAGCAGGGCGGGACGGGGCGGGGCGAGCTTGGCCTTTACTGCGCCACAGCAGGTGGGGGGTGGGGCGGTGTCGAACCGCGCCCAGTCCGGGTTTCAGGCCGGCTTCAGACTGGCGGCGAAGGCGAACAGGCCGCCTTCGCGTCCCGGGACGGGAACTCACCTTCTCTGAGGCAAGGGCAGGTGTCTACTTTAAAACTACTGTCCCCCCTCCCCGCCGCCGCCATAGTGGAGCCGCCAAAGCTGCCGCCGCCTTCTCCACAGCACCGGCAAGTGAGCAGGCAGGGGTGGAGGTGGCAGAGGAGGGAGGCGCCAGCAAAGCCGCCGCCGCTGCCACCGCGTAGGTGGCGGCGGAGGCGACAGATTAGGGAGCTTCCCGGAGATGGGAAGACCTCGCCAGCTGAGCTACAGCTTTAGGCGACGCCGCCGCCGCCGCCGTCGCAGCCTGGCGTGCACAATTGCACTGGCGTCTGGATTCCGTTAGGCTTTTTTTAGCACCGCCTTCCCCCAAGCTCCACCTCCCGTCCCTCGCTTCCTCTTTTGCAACCAGAGCCTCGCTCTGGCTCCTGGCTTCGGCCAATAGGAGAGCCGTGCACCCGCACGAAGCCTTCCCTTCCCCTGTGGTTCTGCAGCACCGACCTCCCTCCGGAGAGGAAAAGATGGCCAAGGGCGAAGGGCAAAAAGCGCGGGATGTAAAAACAAATGTCCTTATATGGTGGGGACTGACGCACTAATATAACAGCAGTTTTTTCTTTTTTTAAATGTCAGGCTATCTCTTGATCCCACCTCCAAAATCTCTCTAAAAGACATTTTCCCCTGTTTTGAAATAAGCAGGACCTGGTCCTTCAGTCTAAATGGCCCCTCAAACAACAGCTTAGCCATCTAAATTACGGAGAAAATCTGGTGCTCAGTGGAAGAACCGAACTATTACTCAGCATTTAATTCTCATCACTTTTACCCAAACCCCTCAGAACTCCAATATTTCATGTTCATTTCTCTGCCTTTAAAACATACTAATTGTCACATAGACGGATGCTTAAATACTGTTATTTTTTGTTACAATAAAAAATACACATTTAAAACCAGATATTGTGAAACAATATTTTTACTTTGAAATTTTCATATGACTATGCATTTAATGGAAATAATCTAATTGGCTGTCCTGTTGTGAGGTATTATTTGTATTTTCCCATTATTTGTAATTGCCCAATATTTCAGTTTGTTGATCTCAAGGATTACATTTTAAGGATTTTGCAAAATGATCGCACATGCAGATACACATTATTTAAAAGTAAGCACAATTATAATTATTTTCTAAAGAAATTGTTTTACAGATAGATCAACTAACTAAACTTATTTTTTAAATTTTTTAACACAAAATTTATTCTGTACTTCAGATAATGCTTATTATCATACCTAAATTAAATTTGAAAGAGGCTAAGCTATTTTCCAGCAATGGGGTTTATTTTTAATTTAAAAAGTAGTTATTTAATTTTATGTGTGCTTTAGTGTAAGTACACTGTAGTTCATGCAGATCAAGGACATCAGAAGAGGTGTCAGAATAACTGTTATGTACTGCCATATGGATGCTAGAAACTAAACCCAAGTTCTCTGCAAGAGCAGTTAAGTACTCTTAACAGCTGAGCCATCTCTCCAGACCCCAAAAATGAAATTTAAAGGAATAAATTTGATCCTTGGTAATTAGATTCTTTTTGTAGGCATGTTTTTGTACACTGTGTAAAGTTTACCCTTGTGATATCCAAATGCTGATTTCTGTGCCCTGATATCTTCTTTCAATCTGGACAAAACACTGTAATGCTTATACCAAGAATCTCCTGTCTCAAGTTTGTATAAACAGTTCTTACCATTTATTCTCTGCCTTGTCAATAAATGCTGATTGACCAATGGCTAGGTAGAATAGAGAATAGGGTGGGATATCTGCCAACCAGAGGAAGTAGAGAGGGGAGAGAGGGAGATTCAGATTAGCAAGGAGGATGAAGGATTTGGAGCCATGAGGAAGGGGTCCAGAGAGAGGTCATGGAAACACACATGAAGTCCAAAGAGCCAGATCAATAATAATATGCAAGAATCAAGGGATGGTGCTGGGAGGCAGCCAGATTAGCATAGAAAGTAAAGATAGATCATTTAGTTGCTCAGCTATTGAGGTGCAATTCTAAATAAATCTTGGTGTTTTCTGTGTGGATATTGGGGACTAATGTAAGGTAAAGAAATATAGCTACCCAATTAATTTACTGCTACATTTGTATTAAATAAATTAATTTTCACTTTTCAAATAAATTACTGCTTATATTCTATGAGATGTTCCCATCAATCGTTCATAAACTCTGTAAGGGTTTTTACATTAAAAATCTCTTTTAAAGCCAGGCAGTGGTGGTGTTTGCCTTTAATTTCAGTACTCAGGAGGCAGAGGCTGATGGATCTTTGTGAGTTCAAGGCTAACTTGGCCTACAGAGTGAGTTCCAGGACAGCCAGGGCTGTTATACAGAGGAAACTCTGTCTTAACAAACAAACAAACAAACAAACAAACATCTGTTTTAAAAGGAAACACATAAAAAGGAAAAAAAAGAAAAATAATAAATAAAAGGAAACACATATCCTAGTATTGTAAATGTCCCCAAGGATTCATGGCTGAGGAGTTTACAGGCCCCAGGGGGTGAACTTGCTCCTATTTTGCTAAATGGATGTAATAGCAAACTGCCTTCTAAATTCCTGCCACTAAACCCACAGTTTAGTGCAGCTCTCAGACATGAAAGAAGTTTCTTTGTGCAGTAAACAACTGGATACCAATGAAGACACTTGCAAGCAGTCAAAAAGTACAGAAGTGTCTGTGGAATGCTCAGTCACATATGGGATATCTGCATCACATTTCCTTCTGGCAAGGTGTAGGATCCATGGAAGAAGAGAGGATAGAAGGATTATAAGAGCCAGAGGTTGGAAACAACAGGGCCATTGCATACATGAACTCACACCCTTCACAGGATCTGTACAAGATCAAGACAATCATATTCCAGCATTGATGAAGGGGCTTTAAGAGCCCCAACCATAGCTGAGTAGCTATTGATCTGTTGAAAGCTTCTAGGGAAAGGAGGGTCAGTTTTCTTTAAGGCTGTGGTCTCTGGTAGGTCCACCATACTCCAGTAGATGGTCCCATAACTGTGAATGTATGTGCAGCACAAATTGGACTCATTGGGTTGTTTTAAAGCAAACAAACAAAAAGAGGACATGAAGTTGGAAGAGGGTAGGAAGAAGGTAGCATATCTGGAAGGACTTAGAAGAGGAAGAGGCAAATATAAATATGAAATTTTCATAGGATTAAAAAATACAGTATTTTCCTTCCCTTCGGCCCCTGCCTGGTCCCTTGGACTGGAGCAGACACAGACTCGGTCTGCTCCTGTCCTGTGGAGAAACTGAATCCTGAGTCATCCAGGAGCCACTGCACTCAGAGCAGCTGGTAAGAACTCCATCTCACTCCCTAAGCCCCAGA